GATTGTAAGAGCAATTTCGATCTGCAAACAAATGCTTTACAAAGTCTTGTGAGCTACTAACAAATACTTGGGAAGATAAAGAAGTGAACGAGTTTGTGCTGATAGTTATCTCTACTGATTCAATATTGTGTAGTCTTCAGAAATGCAAAGTTCCTTCCATCTAAGAGCATCACTGTTTTTACTGCAGTGCATATCAAAGCATAAAGCAGCATTTCTGTGCTGTTTGATCATGACATCTGCTCCAGCTCTATCATAAAACACCTTCTTCCAGCAAGCTTGCACTTGTGATGGTTTGGTCCCTCCTCCTCCTCCTTTCCCCTAGAACTACTCATTCAACCAAAAGGCAGAAGTACCAGTGGTGTAGTCCTAAAAAAAAAAGGTGTACTATTACCCACCCAACCCAAAATTTTTAAGTAGGCAAAGACACGACCAGTCGATGTTTTTTTGATTCGCTAGCAATATATATTTATTCAAAATTTGAATTATCCATTTAAAAAGGAAAAATATTGCAACAAATTTGTTCATTTTAAAGCGAGATGCTAATGGTCTAATCCAACACAGGCTTATTCTGAAAACGTAGTCAAGTGGATGTTTCTGGAGACCGCAAATTATGTAGCCGAATTTAGTTATGGCTGCATTTAATTTAAGCGAATGCTACAGGGCAGTATGACGCCGTTCCTTTTGGTGCTTACCAGCTGACCGTTCGCCTCCGTGTGGACACTTGTCCCGTTAGCTCGTCATGTACGTCTGCTTGTACAAGGTTCAAGTCCGGGGAAGAGCTGTTCCACAAATCAGAAAAGACAAAACCAGAATCCAAAAAATAAAATGAACAGGGTGAGAATGTGGTAAACTGCGAAAACGTGGTAAAAATTAGACCAGGATTTTGTTTTTCTGGACTGCTTTTGTAAAAAACGTTGGTTGCGTTTGGGGAAGTGGGTAGGCGGGTCAACCGATAAAATTGGTTGGGTTATTTAATAAAAAATATAGTTTTAAAAATCTTTTTTTTCAAAAAATCATGATACAAACTGAATCGTGGGTCAAAAATCGTGATACGAACCGAATCGTGGGTTTGGTGTATCGTTACAGCCCTAGTAGTTGTAATACCCAAACAGCTCGTGGAAAAAAAGTAGGTGACTTGTAGCCCCGACTACACCACTGTCAAGTACATAGCAAAGGCTTTTGCGAAAAATAATACATTTTGCTCCCAAGTTGGCACGAGGGAAGAATGCAAACAAAGAGCCACATCAAGACCGGTTGCATATTTCAGGAATTACTAATCATTTTTATGAAAGCAGCTCGACTAGTGTTACTGCATCTGTGCACATGCAGGAAAGCCCATTTGTTTTATTATGACAGCATAGGTGACAATGGCTTTCTAAGCTTAATGTAACTCTATGCCCAAATCCTGCTGAAAAATTACCTAAAGCAGGGTTCAAACCAGAACCAGCAGGGAATTCTGGGCGTTTGCTGAAGTCAAATGAGGTCTTCGGTACTCTTGGCTCCACAAGTTTGTTTTTATAACTCTGTGTTCCCTCTCCCATTTAAAAGCCGTGTGTTGCTGGGAGAAAGATCCATGCTCTCTTTGCTCAATTGGTAGAGACTTGTGGAAAATCTGCTGAGTGCCTAGGAAAGGCACCCAGAACGGAGCAGGTTGGCTGAGCCTGAGTTGCTGAACTCAAATGACCCACATTCTCTGATTACCAAAACAAATGAGATGGAACATTCATTGTTTAACTGAATCATGGTCCAATCGCAGACCGGTGACTATACAGTGAAACCCAATCCAAAGTCTGCAACTCTTGGAGAATAACCCAAATGAAAGACAGGAAGTGAGGAAGGTTTTAAAGGTATACTATAAACAAACAGTCAATTGTGCTGTTATCAGCTTTAAATGACTTACTTTGACATGTCAACACACAAGTAGACACGCAAGCACTGTGCTGGAGCTTTGCAGAACAATATGTGTGAATGCAGGGTGGTAGTGTGTACTGACATAAACATGTCATTACATATACACTCTAAAACACCAAACCTATTATTAAGCAAAGTAAAAGCTATAAGTAACAGCAACCGTGTAGACGACACACCCACCTACAGTATATCAAAGCCAAGTTTCATATCATAAACAAGACTTTTATATTGGAAATCTGGTCAAGCATTGCTACAGATGCATTGTTTTCTTGTTAGATTAACTATTTGTGGATAATCCTGCCTATTCTTAGTGGCAATAAATGCTAATAGGCATCTAAGACGAGGTGTGCTAATGATATTTTGGTAGTACCAGGATGGGCTACTTTTTTTTTTTTTTTGTTTGTTATTTCAAACCATTTCAATGTGTTCAAGTCATCGTGCAATAAACATTTACTGCTTCTCAAACTATTTCATAACAGTAACAAGAGGGAATTCAGTCATATTTTAATGTTAAAACAGCTATCATAACATTGTTTATTAATATGTGGCTCTTTTTGGATTCTCGGAAGCTATAGAAATCAAAAATTTAAAACAGAAAATAAGTTGGGACCATTGCTTTTGTTTACACTTATAAAAATGGTCTGGTAATTGTGGGCTGGTAGATCACAGTAAGTGATGAGGCACTACGGTAGTTTAGTTTTTAATTGTTATAATGGAGTATTTAAATTGTTCATATAGTTTTAGTTCGTTGTTTTGTTTTTTATGTGGCAGTGCTTTAATAGGGTATTTGCTGAGCTAGCGCTGTTCCCATTCTGATACACTTCCGGTGACCTGTTATTGTGAACTTTTTTTTTACCATTTTATTGACCTTATTCTCCGCGGGCGCTGCCATTTGAATCTTTTTGGCTTGAGACTTCCGGTCTCATTCACTTCCATTCATCTTTTGACGTTAAAAACTGCTCATTGCGCTGCTTGATGTTGCAATTTGATATTTTCCTATTATATTATTCTACTTGCTCTACAAACAAATGTTTGCATGACTATACAGACCAAGTAGTTTGACCGTTTTCTGCTGTTTATTATTCTTAGTCATTTCTCCCATAGGCGACTGAATCGGAAGTTCTAAGACAATCGCGAAAACAGGCGCACTTCTGCATTTTAGAATAAGGTCAATACGGTTCCATATACCGCATCGATGTTGTAATGTCATTAAAATACATTCAGTTAAATAAACTTAAGCATTTATTTAGTTGTTCAAGCGTAAAGCGAGACAAAAAGCTGTTTACTCGCACGCGCCCGTCAGAATCGGCAGGCTAACGCAGAAGTTCCATTGAATATACTAGGGTAAAATAAATGCTCATATAATAAAGACATGGCGGGGGAAATGTAATTTAATGCAGTGCTTCTTGTACAATCTGAGGCCCACTTTAAATCGGATATCACTCAGCTAGTGGAGATCGCTGATTTTTAAAGAAAACAGACCTTAAACGCACCTGATTTTGCATTGGCATTCAATTCGCCGGAAGCGCTTAACCCAGGTTACTGGCAAATTAAAAGTCCTATTAGCATGCTTCGGCATATACCCCATAGAACAGTGTTAAGCAGTTCAGTTTGCATCATTAAACCCCAAAAAAACAGCTTAATTATACAGTAATGCCATCTTGGGATCAATTAATGGATGAGCAGAATTACAAGATCAATCGGTTGCGCAAAAACAACTATAGGTGTGTTTAAAATGGCAATAGGCACTACAATAGATACATTTCCTCTCAGTATTCAGATAATAGCAGGCTAACCTAAACTTGCACATCTGATAAAACTAACAGAGATACCGAAGTGTGTCAAAATCTAGCCATCTCACACAATGGCTGACAGAAACTCTTGATAGGAAAACATTTGCACTCTGTTTCTAAACAGTCACCATTTAAAGTAAACCAGGGTGTATTTCGTGTAACCCTGACGCAATTTACACATCTCTGCGGTTATTTCTTATCTGAGGCCCACAACGCCTTTGGTGTCAAGAGTGTTTCGATTAATTGAGAATTTCCTGTCAGAAGGTCAATTTTTTGTCTGACGTGAGAACATTAATAATAATAATAATAATAATAATAATAAGGCGGGAATACGCGTAATGGCGCGTGAAAGTGCGGTAAAGAACGTTTAATTGGGGTTTCTTAAAGCGTTTTCCATACCAACCGTCAATTTATAAGTGCTGAGGGCGTGTTCAGCGCTCGACTGGTCGAGTCTGTTGCTGGCCAGATCAGCTGGCAGTCTGTCTGACGGGGGTGTGGCACATCACAACAAAGAGCTTAACAGTCAAACAAGCAACCGCAGAAGTCTCACCAACCCCCATCTTTTATTCATCTTTCATTTTTAAAACCCTCTCGCATATTTCTAACGGACCAGCACAAAGAAAATAATCGAATTACACGCGAATGCGCGACTTTTGGACCTAGTGCTGCCTACACGCGAAGTCCTGCCAGTGACTTCGCAAACCAGCACCAAGAGTATAGCCTGCAAGACTTTAATGAGCGATTACATCATGATGTGGCTTTTTTGGGGGTATAATTCAAATGCGATGTGATTTTATTATGAATGCATGCATGCATTTATGGATAATCACGCGTAATACGTGCGCACATTTGTAAGCTGTTCACTCTTAAAGTTAGTTTTATTGCAGCTACTGATGCCAGTGTTCTTTATTAAAAGCAATGTCGCTTTATTTTGTTGTTTATTGCTGTTTTATTGTGTGCATTTAACAATGCCAAATAAATAAAAGTGCTTGGTTTATTGGGTTTATGAGTGTCGAGTTGGCTCATATAGGCGAGGCGCTGGGGGGGGAGAAGAACTGTTGCTGTTTACCATATTGCTTCCTCGCAGTGGGCGTGACACTGTATTTACCATATGTACGATGCCTCGAATAACATTTTACAGCCTCAAAACGACTAGTTTAAAGTCATTGCGTGTATTATTGAGGACAGCGCCGTGCAACAACAGTTGTCCCGTCAAGTCAAAGCTGAGCGGAACACAATGTGCCCGACGCAATGTTTACACACTGACTGGATCTGCAAGCAGGAATGGAAACTGACCTGTGTGCGTCCTTAGGTGGGCTTTGAGATGGGACGATTTGCCATAAACTTTTTCACAACCTGAATAGTGGCATTTGTGCTTTTTCTGAGGGGCGTCGTGCTCAACTCGACCCCTAAATCGCTTGCCCCTTTGTTTAAGAGCAGAGTCGCCGGGGATGGCGGTAGGTGTGGCAGAGTTCCCATCATCCCCGCTCGGGGTTGCAGTTGGCGGCGTGCTCTCCTCCTTTATTTTTGCCTGCTCGGCAAAATTGGCGGGCGTCTGCTGATTAAAATCCGCCAGAATTCTCGCCACCACAAATAAAGAGGAGTTGTCTTTCAAAGGCTCCTTGGCTTCTTCTCCGTTCCTCTGTGCAGCCGCAGTTTCGGGCTTGGTTTCTCTATTCCCTTTTGGACCGTGGACAATTGCCTGGCTGGACATTGACACAAGGCACTCTGCTGCGAAGTGATCCATTCTGTTGAGGAGTCCGAGCTGTTTATGACATTCAAAGCCAGTGACCGTGAACTCCAGTAGATCCCTTTGTGTGATGCTGAATCGGCAGCTCTCTCATAGGCAAACTCACTTTGCACGGTCTTACCGGCTTTTCAGCAACACTGACATCCTGCGTGGCAATCATGCGAGGGAGCTCCTTCTCTTCGTTTCCTCTCTAGAGATAAGTCTCCGGGGATGAGAGCTCTGAAAACTTGTCTTGATTGAGTATCAGAACTCCCATCGTGGCTGTAGTCCGCACAACGTTAAAGTGACAGTATGCCGTGCGCCGATTAGCGCTGATTGTATCCATGCTGGGGGCGTGTCAGCCGGTAGCGTTCGGAAACGTCACCGGGTGCTGCGCGCTCTGATTGGATGGTGGCGGGTCCTGGAGTGCGCTACCTTACGTGCCCCCACCAAACTTTTGCAAAGTATAAAGGGAACTTCAGCCAGAAGCTGCAGGCAGGATTCTGCCTCCGTGTCCTATAGGATGGAGATGCTTTATATTTGTAAAGCCAGATATTTAGATATTTAGATGTAGGTCTAGACATGTCATGTGAGTATAGTAATGAAATGAGACCCTGGATCATGTGCAAATACACTCGAGGGTAATATTTTTGATGCATTTCGTGAAAGCTGAATAAATAATATTTCCATTGATGTGTAGGCCTACTTTCTTAGGATACAATAACATCTGTAATAATAATAATAATAATAATAAGACAAAATCTGAAATTTGAGGGTTCAAAAAATCTAAATAATGAGAATCTACTTTTATAGTTGTCTAAATTAAATTAAGTCTTGATTTAAGATGTGTTGTTGTTATTATATATATATATATATATATATATATATATATATATATATATATATATATATATATATATATATATTATTGTTATTATATATTTATTATTATTATTATTATTATTATATATTACTACATAATGCATATGTAGTACACACATCGATAAAAACAAACTTTACCAAACTGTTTTTTCTCCTTGTGTGTGTAGTTTGTATCTCCTACATATATATTTTGTATTGAAATATAAACAAACGCTTTCAAAATGTTTGCATGTGTGTATTTATATATACATAATAAATAAATATAAACACATGCATATTATATGTCCAAAGCAAACTTTTTATTTTGAATAAAAATCACAATTAATTTTTGCCTAGCACTAATTATGTTAATTAAATGTGCAAAATTTATTCAGATTTGAAATTAATTTAAGTAAACGATACAATATTCCTAAAGTATCAATATGCCAAAAATTTTGATGCAACATAATTTGTATATTATTTAATTTTTTGTATTTTAGTAGATGTATTTTGAGAAACCTTTGTTTACCAAACAAGTGGTTCTAATTGTATATGTAAACAAATGGTATTGGAAACAAGTGGTTCTAATTGTATATGCATTGTAACTCTTGAACAAAAGTTGTTTTTAGTTCCTATACATTTTTAGTTCATATACTCTAAAAAAAGTTTCTTCAAGTCTTTAGTTCCTTTGTTTTAAGCTATTGTAATCTAAAAAAAGTTCCTATATATTTAGTTCCTATACCATTTTAGTTCCTATACTCTTAAAAAAGTTCCTATATGCTTTTAGCTCCAATACGTTTTTAGTTCATATACTCTAAAAAAGTTCCTATAGGCTATATTTAGTCCCTATACATTTTTAGCTCCTATACTCAGTTCCTGTATTTAGTTCCTGTTTTTAGTCCATATACTCTAAAAAGAAAAGTTCCTATATGTTTTGTTCCTATGTGTTTAGTTTATATACTCTAAAAAAGATCCTATATATTTTTAGTTTCTATACTTTTAAAAAGTTCCTGTTTTAAGTTCCTTTACTCTAAAAAGAAGTTTCTTTATGATTTTAGTTCCTATATTTTTTAGTTCCTATATGTTTTAAGTTAATATATTCTAAAAAAAAAAGAGAGTTCCTATGTTTGTTCTTATGTTTTAAGTTCATATTCTCTTAAAAAAAAAAAAAGATCCTACATGTTTTTAGTTCCTATCCTCTTAAAGTTCCTATGTTTCTAGTTCATGAACTCTAAAAAGCTGGTTGATTTAGTCCAACAGGAAGAATGAATAGGAACAATAATTTATCTACTTTATAATTGCACTTTATATGTACTATAGGATTTTCTCAGTGAAGCAAGACTTAGTTTATCCATGACTCATTTAATCTCATAACAACCCAGAATTCACTCTTATTCGCCTGCTTTTACACAAGTGGCAGTCCTTCAGAGGAGAAAAATCAACACAAATGATCTACTGGATGACAAAGCAGTGGTTTCTGCTGAACTCCCCCCTCACTTAAGCTGCCGCAGTAGCCTCCATATACAATGGAAACAATATGGAAAACTGTAAAATATTTATACAGTTGGCTCCAGACGCTTCAAGGGCCTGAAAGAAATGACATTTCAAAATAACTCTCAGACAGAGAATGGAGGATCCCAGACTGGAAAGTGCATTTCACAAGCAGACTGAGGGAGAAAACTGAGATCAGAATTTCAGAAGTTGCTTAATCTTCTTTTTTTTTTTTTAATATGAAAGCAGAAGAGGAGAAAAGAAAGCTCCTGAACTCTAACGATGCTCTGTCCTCTTGTGGGAAAGCACGTCTTCTCTTTCAGTCCCGTTCACAATAGGCTTCTCCGGAAAGTTCCAAGTGTTCATTGAGGGCAAGGCTGCATGGCATTCAGAGAGCCATCTGGTTGTATTACTTTACATATTCTTTCAGCGCCACAAGAACTGAGTGTTCTTGCATTTCATGCATGTTTCTAAAGCAAATCCAGCGCAGCATATCGGTCCAGTTTCACATGGCTGCCCTAGACTTGGAATAGAAAGAAAAGTATGCTGTACTATAATTTAAAAATGCTATTTAACATATGTTATAGATATGTTATAAATGTTAATGTCATTTTGTTAGATTAGTTCCTATATTGGCTTTGTTACTCATTACTAATATAATGTATATGGACAAATACATCATCGTGAAGCATCTTAAAAAAAAATCAATATAAATTTAAAAGAGATTTGTGAGGGGTGTATTAATTTATAGTGAGCAGTGTGCGTGCGTGCGTGCGTGCGTGTGTTTTCCTAAATTTTCCTGAGACAAGAATGTGTTATTGAATAGTTTTAGGATAGATAAATGGATAAATAGATACTGTAGATAGATAGACAGGATTGATATTGTAGATTGATAGATGGATGATAAATGGATGGATGGATGGGTGGATACTGTAGATAGATGGGTGGATAGTTGGATGGATAGATTGATGGATACTGTAGATAGAAACTGTATATAGATGGATGGATATTGTAGGTGGATGGATGGGTGAGTGATGAATAGATGGATGATAGATGAATGGATATTGTAGATAGATGCTGTAGATAGACAGATTGATATTGTAGATTGATTGATGGAGGGATGGATTGAGTGGATACTGTGGATAGATGGACATAGATGGATAGTGATGGAGGGGTGGATACTTTAGATACAAACTGTAGATAGATGAATGGATATTGTGGATGGATGGATGGATAGAAAAATGGATGATGGATAGATGGATGGAATAATGGATATTATGGATGGATGGGTGGGGTGATGAATAGATGGATGATAGATGAATGGATATTGTAGATAGATACTGTACAGTAGATAGACAGATTGATATTGTAGATTGTTATATGGAGGGATGGATAGATGAGTGGATACTGTGGATTGATGGACGGATAGATGGATGGTGGTGGATGGATGGATAGTTAGATTGATGGATACTGTAGATAGAAACTGTAGATAGATGAATGGATATTGTAGATGGATGAATAGAAAATGCGTGATAAATAGAGAGATGGATGGATGGATAGAATGATGGATGGGTAGGTGGATAGATTCATGGGTAGATGATGGATGGATGGATGGATATTGTAGAGAGGTGGATGGGTGGAGTGATGAATAGATGGATGATAGATGAATGGATACTGTAGATAAATACTGTAGATAGACTGATTGATATTGTGGATGGAGGGATGAGTGGATATTGTGGATAGATGGACGGATAGATTGATAGTGATGGATGGATGCATGGATACTGTAGATAGAAACTGTAGATGGATGAATAGATATTGTGGATGGATGGATAGAAAAATGGATGATAAATAAATAGATGGATAGAATGATGGATAGGTAGGTGGATGGATTGATGGGTAGATAGATACTGTAGCTAGATGGATTGATGAATAGGTTGATAAATAATAAGGAATGGGTAGATAGATGGATAGGTGGATAGATGAATGGATATTTAATTGCATTTATCATTTTTTTCTTACATTTTCGTATTGTTATTCCTAATTCAAATATATCATAAGTGATTAAATAATACAATACCAAAGATAAAACTGGATCATGATCATGGTGCAGAAATTATTACAACCCAAAGAAATTTTAAGTATTATGTTATGAAAAAATATCTAAAATGAATTTTTAATAACAAAAAATGGATAAAAAAATCTGCTTTTTTTAAAGGCGGTGTAGTCCTTCAGTCATTAGTAATTTAGTCATAATTTATTAGTCATAAATACACTATAAAATTGAATGACAAAGTCAAGACAAATATTTTAGTAATTTTATCTTTATATCAATAAGTTAATCAGGTTGCAACTACATTTAAGTTATAGAAAGTTTAATATAATATTTCAGTCAGTCTGATTAATGCAAGTTCAGATTAAAGTTAATTTGATTCAACAAAAAATCAAGGCAGCAAGATCTTGTTTACAGTGTACTCTAATAACTGTATTTGTTTACGCATGCAAATACTTATTTAACTAATGGAACCTTGCCATAAAGTGTTACCATTATTTATAGATATATAAAACGATGTCATACAACATGACTTTCACTTGGTGCTTCAGCGAAATATATTTGTGCGGCGAGTGTGAAACTTTAAATGCAACTCGATGTCCCACACGATGAGCAAACCCACTCTGTTGTTCTCATTTTATAATCTGTTCTCTTCCCTCTGCAATCGCCGACATGTTTCAGGAGTAGGTTGAGTCACATTCTCGATTTCACCACGTTGTTCAGATGACTCAGCTATTCTTGTGTACTATAAGAAATATCCGATTCCCCTGGGCTCTGCATCAGTACTGACGGCTGCGGCACGTGTCCCTCTTTTCAGATGTTATCCTGTGAAGTGTTTGTGAGGACAGCCTGACCTAGCAGCAGGTGGAACAGCCCAGGCAAGGCCAGAATGACCCAGAACAGAAGGAA